GTGGGTGAAGGTTGGATTGTCTGAGTTGGAATAGCTCATTGAAATCCGTGTTTTAGCCTACTTGCGAGTAGCAAATTCCAAAACCTTTTTCCAAAACAAATCGGATATGCAATGCTTATTCCCAAATTAGGCAATCTAGTCTATACTGGTTTGCTGTGCGCATAACATAGTAATTCTAGGCTAATAACCGGAATAAGAACACATAACGTTTTCAAAAACGGATATCATGGTTAGTAGAGGCCGATCTTCGGATCGGACGAGAGGGGATGCTCATAGCTGACCTTCCCCAACCGTACCCAAGTTCCCGAGCCGAGGCAACTTTGGTGATGACGGACACGTGGCCTTTGGCATCGAGTCAGGGTTTCCTAAATTCCCCCATAGAAAATATTTAGGTGGCGACTCTGTATCTGGCAAAGCAGTCTATGTTTGGCACTTCTTTTCTAAAAATCTGTTTTCTCAAAACGATTTGCCGGATTTGGACTCTTTGGTTCAGATTAAGAACCGTGACACAAATCAAGTTCGAACTGTAGCGGGGGTCCCTCGCGGGCGCGTGCTACAAAAGTCGTCGGCAACAAGAAGGATCCCAAAAAGGGCAAGCTTGGCCCAAACTGCGAAGGACCCTACATAATCACTTCGATATTGGGCAATGGGGCATATCGGCTTGAAGATAGTGAGGGCAAAGAGTTGCCAAGACCCTAGAATACTTGTAATCTGAAGTTTTTCTATCATTAGATTTTCCTTGTTATTTGCCGACGTAATGAATAAAATTCTAGCAGAATTCTTCTATACTTGTGACTGATGAAGATACATAACGTTGTTTCTAGAATACATGCATAATGAGACCCCAAGTGGAACTTAGGTTCACATTAGGGGCAGAGTGAAGAAATGATGTTTAACACTTGTTGAAACTTGAGAAAAGTTTACAAGTTGAAGTTAAACCGAAATGGTGTTTAACACTTGTTGAAACTTGAGAAAAGTTTACAAATTGAAGTTAAACTGAAATGATGTTTTACACTTGTTGAAACTTAAGAAAACTTTACAAGTTAAAGTTAAAACTGAGATAATGATAAAACACTTGTTGAAATTTGAGAAAAATTTACAAGGGAGTATTGCGTTAAATACTTATGCACTTGCCGATGTAAACTAAAGTGTTTCACCCCGAGAAGGTTGCACAAGACTATGGCGTATCTTGAAGACACAAAATTATTCTAAGTATGAAAGTCATACAAGAAGCAATAAAGGGAAGGCAAACAATGCAAACATTCAAGAAAAAATGAAGTTGTATTAATCAAAAGGCACATCGGCAACTTAAAAAGTTTACATTACTTTGAAAGGAGAAACAAAGTACAAAAAAAGGAAAAGAAAAACATAAGGCTAAGATTCTTTAGCATCAATAGCAGGCTGGGGCTGGATCTCGGAAGACTGCTGGGAGGGCATCTCGGCGGCCTTCTCAGCCACAAGCTCAGCGTCAATTTCTTGCAAAGTTTGATCAAGGCTCTTGTCGGTAATGGGCACGTCTGATATTGCCTTTTGAGGCACAGTATCTTTAGGAAACTCCTCAACCTCCTCATCCCGAGTCAAGTCCAGGACTTGCTCATTTTGAGTAGGTGACTTGACCCCAGCAGCTTCCTTGGGCCTCCTCACCAAAACCTCCTCCTCGGACTCAGAATCGTCGTCGGCGGGTTGGCTTGGAGTTGGGGGGAACGATAGAGGAAGGACATCGGCATTTCTAAGGGGGGAGTCCTCGGGGACATCAAGCCTTTTCAGCAAGGTCATCCAGCCAAGGGTGAAACCCCTATTGCATGCCAGCTTCACCTGCTTTTCATAGTTCGATGTGACGTCGGCCACCTCCTCGTTGTAGCCCTTTTCATCGACTGCCTTGACTTCGGCCTCTTTGGTGGCCAGAGCGTCTTGCAGTTCTTTTTGGGCCTGGGCCGTTTTCTCCTCGGCATACTTCTTTTCGGCCTCAAGCACTTTTTTGATGGCCTCTGCAGAGTCTGCCTTTTCTTCGGCGTCGTTTTGGGCTTTGATGGCTGCCTCGGCCTGGTCTTCCAACTTTTTCATTTTTGATTGCAAACTTTTGTTGGTCTTTTGAAGACTAGAGACCTCCCTCTTCATTTCGGCCAGTTTCTTCCGATTCTCAAAAGATTGTACTGAGAAAGAATGGGCATGCTGGATGGCCTGAAAGTAAAACAGAACAGAAGTTGTTAGAAAAAATTACAAGTATGGAATGAACAGAAAGAAAGAAAAAGTTGCCAGATAAAAACACTTACTTGAACGGAGCGTTGAAGCATCAGGGCGTAGTTTCATACTCGCTCAACTCGGCGTTTCAGTCGAGATCGCCGGGAAGAAGCAGAGCGGTACTGAGGGCTACGCCGACGTTAATGTCATCAGCGTTATCATTGGCCATAACTGGCTTATCTTCCAGAGTAATTTTGGGGGCCTTGGGGGCATCATGTTTTCGAGACCCCGAGGTAGTTGCTGCGGATGACCTCGGCTTCTTTGATTTTGGAGATTCAGATGGTTGGGCCTCAGTATGCCTCTTCCCAGCAGCAGACTGAGGCTTGTCGCTCTCAGCTAATTTAGAGATCGGCAAGGTGTCCTCAGTTTCAACCTGAGTCACCTTTGCCTTCGGCTGAGCCTTTTTGATTCTTTTTTGCTTTGGTGGAGGCTAGGTTTGCGTTAGCTGAACATCAACGTCAAAAGGGATGCTGACTAAGAAGTCTTTTGCAACAGCTCTCTGGCGGCCCATCTCGAAAGAAAAAACAGTTCGTCGCCGACATTGTCGTTGAGATGGTGGGATCAGGTATAAAGCCGAGGTTGACGGTTGCTCAGCTGGATTAGAGGTTGATCCTTGGTCTGTCCGAGATGTGGACGTGACTTATGGAGTTGTGGCAGAAGGTGGAGAAAGGCTTTTCTTCTTCTTTTTTGGGACGTCGGGAAGAGCCGGCTTATAAGTGGGGATGAAGTTGAGAAGCAGAGGGGCCTTCCGTTTGAGAACTGGCAGATCCAAAAGTCTCGTCAAGTCTTTGCTGGGAAAAAAAGATTGATGGAAACCCTTTGGTGGCTGAGGAAGAGTTGCAAACAAAACAGACGTTAGAAGCAGATAAAATATTAAAGACTTTGAAAAATTTTGAAAAAACAAACAAGTATGGACGCAGGGCTCTTACCATTGCCCTCTACAAAAACGGTTCGAGGAAGACGGTAAAGATGGAGGTCTTTATCTGGAGCGAACTCCCAGTTCCCCGAGGTAATAAAGTAGTCGTCTCCAGCTTCCTTGTTGGAGTCAAGAAGGTCGGCTACGATTTTGTACTCTGTAGATTTTGGCTTGAGGTAGTAAACATAGCCCGTATCTCTTTTGAGGCCACACATGGTGTAGTAGTATTGGATATCGACTAAGGTGATCCCAGCGTTTTCTTGTTTGGCTAAGGTTATTATGCCATTAATGACTCGGTAGGAGTTGATGGCAAGTTGCATTGGGTTCAACTTATAGTAGTGGATTATCTCGCGGAAAAGGATGTTGAGTGGAAGCCGAAGTCCGCACTCAATAAAGGCTACGACAGGGAAGGGCATGGAGTCAGTTGTGGGCATGATAGAGTCGTCATCCCCAGCCAACCTCAGATGGACGTCGGCGGGGATGGAAAACTCTCGCCTAAAGTATTCTAGTTTTGTCAGGGTGTCTACCCTATGCTTCCACATACCCATGATATCAGCCTAGCTAGGAGGAACTGGATTTTGGAATGAAGGTGTTTTAAAAGGGTTATTGGGACCTCGGCAAAAACCAAAATTATGTGCTGGGTAAGAATTTGTGGAAATAGTTTCAGTTTTTCCTAATAATCGAGGGTTCTACAAGCAAATCCCAAACCTAGAACTATGGAAATGAAGATTGGATGCACAGATCTGGAAAACAGAAAAACAAGGATGCGCTTCAGAATCAAGAACAAAGATGGATTGTCAAGAACATTGAAAGAACAAAGGGTATCAGGCCAAGAACAGTGGTAGAAATCAACTGGTGTGTGAACAATGTATATTCAAGAAGATGATTTGGGTAAAAACAGAATCATGAAGTAAACAACTTCAAATATATGGTGGAATACAAAATACAAGATGAAATATCAAAAGTATGAACAAGATTGCAAAGACAGCAGGTAAAACGGTAAAGTTCAGTAAGGTAACAAGAAACTGAAACTAGGAGAAACAATGGCTTACCAGAAAGAGGAAGGCCGGTGTAGAGTTTGCCGAAGTCAGAAGAACGGTAGTAACGAAGAAGAATAACAAGCGTCTCGAGAGGAGAACAACGGTGGTAGCAGAACTTGAAAGCTTTGAACAATGGAGGAGATGGAAAGCTAGAGAGAGAGAGAACTTCAGAAACAATGAAAAGTGAAAAGACGGGGGAAAGAAAGAAGTTTTGATAAAACAGAAACGGCGGCAAAAGGGTCATAAATGTGCCTAGAAGAACGTATGCGCCAGACGGCGCATGTGAGAATGATTCGATTTACAGACCCGTATCAGGTACGTTCCAGTAAGAAAAAGACGCGTGGCTAAAAACGATTGAGTTGTTATGCATGACAGCTCATGCGTGTGAAGAAATTCTTGGAAATCTTGATCTTTAGGAAGA